CAAATTGCATATCCATCATTACTTCCAGCCGTGACGCAACTCCAGAGATGAGTAAAGCTGTCCAATTGGTTCAGACTATCGCCCGCAATGGTAGCACAGACACAGGTGCATCCCGATCCTGAATGAAAGCTTTACACTTTAGGTGCCTCTATCGATGAGCGGTTCAAAAGGCTTTACACGACCTGTGCATCGCCCGCCTCCCAAAAAAGGGATGTTCCCGGGGAGAAGCTCAAGGCCACACCTCTGGGCTCCTTCAAGTGCGAGATGGAGAACATCCGTGATAGTAAATTTGAGCGATAAGGGCGAGACAAAGTAATTTGGGCGTACTCCGCTGGTGACAGCGAAGGAAGAAGAAAGCTTGTGTAAGTTTTAACTTTGCTTGATGTGTGATCATATAGTTCTTACAATATTACAATAAACTTGTGGGGTACACGGTTCCTTAGCAGACAACTTTATAAAGATGATCTATCTACTGATTCAAAAGCGGTTCGAATGTCTAAAAACAACACGATTGTTGGTCATCGGTGAACGTGACAATGTTCGAGAAGCTGACGCAGCGTGTAGATAGGGTCCATACACCTTCAATCCACGAAGCAGGATGGACATAAACACTCTGGATGAGATAGAGATACGTATGATTCCTCGGTAGTTCGTGCATATGCTACGGTAGCCATTCCGATAAATCGGGACAAAGACAGATTCGCCACATTAGTTGGAAACCTCATTAGTTCATACCTTCGTTGGTCACAACGTTCTCTTCATCTCTGAATAAGGCAGCAGGAAGACGGCCAACGTCATGAGCATTGTAGTGTCTCAGGGCCTGGATTGCTCTCCGAATCTCCGCTTCAGTAGAAGGATCTGTGCAGACAGGCCAGGCTGTCAGCTGTACGCCGTAACGGCGCTTCGCTGTCGTGCAACCACCACCATCCGCACGCGGGCTGAGTATACCGCGAGGACGCTCACCCCTACGCGGCTTCGAAACCGCGCCGCGAGATTACGAGACAAGCTCGTTACCTCTAGGCTACGGGCCGACAGACATAGGCCAGGAACCCCTTGATAGAAATGAAGAAGTCACAGAGGGTGGTATTCGGTGAATAAATTTAAAACAGTGTTCTACCCAGTGTTCCAGCCATTTGAGAAGATTGGAGATCTCTGTACTGTCTAACTCGCAGATTGTCTTATTGATGGTATCAGGTGGATTTGAGATAAAACAATCTGCTACTGTTCCAAGCAGAGGCAGCAACCTCTACTTTTGTGGCTGGTTTGGACAGCCAGGATAACCGGTCACGGCGAAGAATTGTCGTCACGTGTTGTCAAATTGACTGTCGGAGTCCATCGTGCTCCAAACCGAGGGGCACAGTTCGTCGACGATCATGCAGTCCCCAGTTTGGTTAGGCAACGAACAAAACCGCAGCTAGACAAACCAGCAAAAAAATATGTTTTAAGCGGAACCAATGCTGATCACAGTCCCGAGGAGAGGGAAAAGAGAATTCACACGAAGTTTCTGTTGATACTCCACTTGCAAGCGAGAATTTCCAATTTGTCATTGTTCGGTGAGGTTTGCATAACCCCACCGAAACTCATGCAAACCGTCGGACGTACCAGCGCAAGAACAGATTTGACGCAAGTTAATCAATCGGTTTTACAGTCCCGAATATCACCACGTCACAGGCGACTACTGGCGCTGTTGTCAATCTGCAACCAACGCTAGGAGGATGATTTGGCATATGGGTTGGCGTTGCAGCGCCCAGAGTGGCGAAATCTAGTACCTGAGAGACAAAGTTGGTGCTTAACATACAAACTGCGTAGTCTTTCTCCATTATCCGAGAGAACTTGAGTATATATAAACGAACCTCCGAGACGGAATTCGCTTAGTAACAAATCGCCAACACGTGATTGGAAATCCCTCATGATAATAATAGCGATGTCCGCTTTGGGAGGTCCTAGAAAAGGATCATGAAGGTTCTGATAGAATTGGTCCTTGAATGCGTCCAGGCTACAGTCAGTGGGAGGATGGAGGGTTTACAGAAAAAGTACGTTTGCCTGAACAATTGCGCCGTCCATGAAGCTGTATAGTACAGAGGCAACCGTGGATTGAAAGCCGTGCAAGGGCGGTTTCGGCTCTAGTACTAATGACAATAAAAATACCGGCGTCTTACTAAAAGGCGACGATGGCAAAAAGATGTAAGGGTGAATTTGTGACAACTGGTAAACTGTGATTGGATCCTAAAGTCGTGTTTCGAACAAGCAGTAGACATCAAATGCAAGAGTTGCTAGGATGCGTGCAAGAGCGGTTTGCTGTCCGATCAGCTTTAAAATGCGTACATTGAACGCTGTCAAGTTGAACTCCCTGTGTGTGTGTGTGTATGTCATATCAAGTGCGGATAGAGCGAATACGTTATGCTCCAAAGCGTTTGAGCAGCTGAGATCAGTCCAAAGGTTCACTCATAATAAGAGGAATAAATTGTTAAGCGGCGAAATGATCCACGTTATCACACCGGCAATAATTATAATAATTATCAACAACTAGGAAAATGGAGAACAAAAATATGTGGACGAAAAAGTTAATGAGAACTAGTGTATCCGTTCCCAGTGCTGCCGGTCACTGGGACTGCTAACAGTCACAAGATGTCTAGGAGGGACCATGGGTCGCTTGAACGACACCATCCAGCAACAAGTGTGATTGCAAAGGAGTATGGACAGAAGGAAAGCGAATGGGAGTAAAGTGGACTTGGAGCCGTTCAACACACCATATATCATTAGGGTGGGAATGGGTGACACATGCGTACCCGAAGGCACATACAGGGCAGTGGCTCGACCATAGTCCGATTTTTGGTCGAACCACACAGTTCGAGCTTATCAATGATGGGAAGCCTAAAAGTTTGGCCGTCCCCAGCACCGAATGTTGATTTGCTGAATTCAATGACAAGAATGGTGACATCGGATGAGCAAGCATTTTGTCAACAATGACAAACGAAGTAGGGGCTTACATTCTGCGGGGATGAACACGAAATACAAGCCAACCATTTGGATATAACCAGGTTAAGACAATAAAGTGTAGCATATGCTACTGTGGCACCAGGACCGAAATACGCGCATGACAAGAGCGCGAGAAAAGCACAGTCAACGAATGCGCAGAACCGTACAGAATAATTGGCGTGTGTGAAATGTTCAAACATGCAAACGGAATGAAAGAATTGAGTTAACGTACAAGCTGCAAACATGCATGAATTGAACATCAAGATGAAGGAATACAAGTATAAAGAAGAAATACAAGTGACTAACAATGAGGGGATAATTTTTGGTCGGGACGGTTGATATAATCCATTGTCACAGCCAAACACCTAAGGTACACTGCATGGCCACGGTGGAGCAAAGCACAAAATCGCTTGGTACCCAAATGTTGTGAACACATATACAAAAGAAAAAGTAGAGATCCTAGAAAGAAATCTAACAGGAGCAGTTATCAATCACAAGAATAACAAAAACAACCTGCCAAGTGGTAAATAAACAAGCGGAAAGCGATCTGCGTGATAAATTGGACGGTGCCGAAATGCGCAGCAAGATGTCAGATGCAAGAGGTCACGTTGAGAAGGATCTCAAATGCGGGAGCCGTAATGGAGAGGAACGAGCAATGAGGCATAATGACATCATAGGCGGGTGAGAACAGAAAGGAGCCTGGAAAATCATACATGCATGTATGTAAATACTAAAAACTGTATGTGGAGGAGGTACATTCAACAAACCTGGATTTGACTTGAGGTAAAAGTCTTTGAACTCATCTAGCCAAACCAGGACCGTGCGGAGCGAATTCACAGACAGAACGTGCTGTACCCCACCGGGCCAAACGTATGGTGAGACCTTACGAAACACGTGACCCACTCGACTGCATGGGACAATCAAGAGTTCGCCACCGCACTGCCACAATCGCACAGACATCTCGACGTTTTCGCCGCCCCAAACTATCATACCTTCATCGTAGCTACCAATCTGCAAGAAGAAAGTATATATTACGCAAAGAAAATGATCTGATTAAAGCAGAAAGCGTGCGGTGAACGAATATCCAACGTAAAATGCGACGCAGAGTAGCTCAGGATAAGAACGAGTGGTGAGGAAATTCGAAGCACCAGCAGATAGTAGTTGAGAGAAGCCAGTGAACACAAGGTGTGTCGAAGTCAAATCGCACGAGGATGAATATCCACGAATATACTGGGAAAGACTTCAGCCGCGTGTACATGTCCAGGGGGGATTTGGATAGGAAAGCAACTACTTAAAGCAAAAATATTAGAATAGTAAGATTTATTAGAAGCCGATAGTACATTCGTCGACATTCGAGGGCATCATACGACGCCTTTGCATATCTGGGAAGTAATTGAACCAGTAGAGACAACTGTTGTAGGACCTTCCGAGCTGGTTTGATAGAGTGAACTCAACAGTTGGATAAAATGGCAGAGCGGCTCCATAGTAGGATTTTGTTTACCGAAGCCATGGAATACTACATTTGACGCAGCAGTAGGGTGCGCCATGAAAGAAAGTCTTCAAACGGATCGGCGCGGAAAACTGGGGTATAAGATATAATATCAGCGAAGTGAACGGGCCATAAATCGGCCAATGAAGCAAGCTGGTGGATTCAGTTGTCAAAACCTCTACCACCACGATAAAAAGTATCAACGGCAAAAACATGATGAGAAATATAGAGAAATAGAAGCCTACTCCAAAAACAGAGAAAAACAGTCAAAGAGTGAACTGGCATGGTCAGACTAAAAAGCTGCCGGCAAAATGCAACAAATCGAGCGCTGTGGTGCCGTTAACTTCACTACTGCCATAAGTCCGGCGACATCCTTGACCATTGATATGATTTATACTAAGGACTACATCCAGGATGTCCCTCAGCAAGTTCATATGAGCCTTGTCACTTAGTCACCCGTTCACAACCTTGTGGCATCGCCCAACGCAGCACAACGTCCTGTAAAATGCACACCGACGCATACGTTCGACAGACATGAAAGGCATCGATCTAGCAAGTGGTAAATACTGATGGATTTCATACCGGAATTTAATAGATAAAACCTTTATGTGTTTATTGTTCAGCCAAGTTTAATTGCGTGCATGCAAGGAGGGTCAGTTGCAGCATACCTCGATCCGCAACCCATATGCCCAATTTAAAAGCAGGCACTGGTAGGTGTTTTCATACAGGTCGGACAAAGGATAAACATTGTGGTTACCAATTTTGTGTGTGAACTTTAGTCTGATTCCCAGACGCACCGCAATGGAAACGAAAACGGAAGCCATAGGTATCATGAATACAGGAATGAACACATTGGCAATAATCGCAAGGGCTTAAGCTACAACCAATCGGTTAGTTCATTGGGGAAAACTATTGATCAGAGTGTGGAGGAAATCAAAAAAGAGTCACCCACTGGAGCTCATGAGCGGTAGTCGTGTCTGAGGCTTACACAATAACGCTGAATGAAAGTTGGATATAGTAATGAGTGAGTCTAGGCAAAACAATGAGGCTTGGAACAGTAGATGAATTCGGAAGGAAGCTAGTTTAGAAAAAAGAAGAAAAAATGCATGGCAGAAATGAGGTAGGTGTGAATGGAAACACTGTAGCCATATCGGCTCACCTGTAAACAAAGTGAAGCCTGGAACGCGTTATTCTTCGTAATGAAACTGGTCAGTCGAGTGGCATTTTCCACCACGGAAACCCAGTTCTTAGTAGAAGCATACAAATTGGAAGTAGCCAGATAAGTGAAATAGATTCGATCTTTAATAGGGCCTTAGTTGGCGTGCATCCATCAGCTTGTAGAGATGGGATACACGATCCAGTTTATGCAAATCGGCAGTTGTAAATGCAGAAGAAAGGAAGCAGAGGTGGCCGAAGAGGCGACTGGTTAGGTTAGGAATACGAAGTCAAAAAAATTAGTAAATGCCAATGACTGTGCCCATCTCCGTCATCTGTGGAGCCGATGCGACATCACACTCGCTCTGCAGGACAGAGTTTACGGTTGTGAAAGCTGACGCATCAGGTCGACACACATAAAGAGGCTTGTCATGTTCGACCATCGCTGCCTTCGCAGCTTAGCTCATGTTCGGTGTGAACACCGCGTGCGCAATAAAGGTGTACGGCGTCGTGTATTTGGTGCAGGAAGAGCGAGCTAACCGCTCAGCAAGATAATGTCACGCAAAAGGTTCTGATGGCTGAATCACGCGTTGCGCCAGCATACGGACTTCCGCGACGTGCGTCGCTTGGCGCCAGGGGTGAGGTTGAAAGAGGAGAAGGGGAGGCCAGGTGATGACTTGATCGATTGAAATGAAAACCCTTACTTCGAATATGACGTCGGTTGGTGCATCCCGATTGCCTGGCTGGGGTCCCAAGAACGATGAACACGTCTGGTTGGACCCGCTTATGACATGGCTAGGAGCCGGCCTTAATAGCGTGTGTTGTGAGTTTCTTTGTCCAACCCCTCTCCCTTAGATTTTCACTCCAATCAAGAGCTCATAGCAAATTAATTATTTGATATTTAACAATATCTCACCTGATTTTTAAATTTTTGGTGCTTTTTAGTATCTTATCGGCTTAGTATTGCGGCACATTAGCTGAAGCGTTTCTCTCTTGTTCAGTTAACGTATATTGTAGTGTAGTAAAAAGGACACAGAAACGTCGGTCATGTGTGCTGCATGCACCGGGTGTCAATGCATAGTAACAGATCTCAGGGAGCGTGTATTCATAGCGAGCCGCTCATGCCGTTTTTATGCAAAATGGCCGGAATACACTGTGTGCACTATTCTTCAACTTTGTATTTAATCACGAGAGACCCAGAGGTGGTCAGCTAACGACGTGGGGAGGTGCAAACTGTGGGAAATTTCGTTGGGGCCTCAATTCTAGTTATTTAATTGCTAAGAGAGCACTTGACATTGTAACCAACATCACGGAATTCGCTTCATTGTTTCTTACTCGACTCTTTCACAAATAAAATATATGAAAACACCGCTGGCTTATGTAGTCAAATAGATCGCATTAAGTTAACTGGATGAATCGTGTTTCAGTACAAGGATCGCAGCTGATTTTCTGCATTGAACAACGGTACTTAATACCGCAAGTAGTCGTTACAATACTGCAAGCCTGTGGTTACCACAACAAGAAATCATCATAAAGTCCAGGAGCCGAAGCATTTAAACAAAGCCTGACCCATGTTAATAGGTTAACTATTAGAAATTGAAAGCGAGACAAGAAACAAGAAAGCGAAACATCAGTAGCGGATGCGAAGCGCACCTCATAAAAGTAGTCTCGGGATATGGTAAAAAGCCCACCAGCCATCACCGGGGTCTTAACCGGTATGTTTGGGTCCTTGTGAGTTCGAGCACGCTCGCGATTCGCAATCGGAGTCCAGTGGAACGACATACCCCAATCGAAGGTGCCCCAAATAGAATCAGAACCTGTCAAAGGAGATTGAAAGAAGGTAGATAAAACATGAAAGATGTCCCATCGACGCAGTACATATGGATACTTAAGACAGCAATATGAAGTGAGTTTCTCTACCGTACCGGTTGGAAAATGAGCAGGCAATACAGCGTCGGATGCGATCTCAGTGACCGAATAGACCGAAGTCCACTTCAAGGTGAATAGAAGTCCAGATTGAATTGAGTGTTGAAATCCATTCAGATAATAAATGATTCAGTATGACCCCATGGAATGAAGCCTACCGGTGATTATAGTACTGTGGTGCATCGGGGTGTGGACGAGACAGGGAATGACTAGAATGGACACAGTTAAATATATGAGAATTATCAAAACGGTCGAGGACGAACAGCCGAGGAAAATCAGCCTAAGTGGTTACTAATAGTGAAAGTTCAGTCGATCGATCAGAGATTCATGGGCGACTGCTCGGCTCCCCTGGAAAATAACCACAGATTTAGCCTAGAATTGAGCCCCTCTTACAATCAACAGCATGCTGAACAGTAGTGAACAAAATACTGTAGATACATAGATACTGTCAACAATGTAGATATGTTCAAGGAATTGGAGGGTCTTAGTGAACACAGTTGTATGATTAGTACATAAAAACTCACGCTTAAGAACAGAAATACCAAGACTTACCAGTTATATATTCAAACGTTGTCTCACTGATTACATCTATGATAGGGCAGGCAACACGTCGGTGGTCCTCAGCAATCTGAAGTAACAGTGGTTCCAACCATCCAGTAGTTGCCTCACAGTGTGCATCCAAGAAGGTCAACGTTTTACCCGTAGATATCGAAGCACCCCGTAGACGTGACTTGACGAGGCCGCTTCGAATACCCATGCGCTCCACATGGGTTGGTACAGGGAGACCAGAGACATAATGGTCCAGAGCGGACTCGAGAAAGGCTGAAACAAGGGAAGAGAAACAAATGAGTGGGTTGACTGGTGCAGCACAGCACCATCGATTACGCACGGGGGGGGGGGAATAAACTGTAGGATATAGTGCACGAATCTCCATCAGCGTGTCAGTCAGGCAGTCGGTAAACGCCAACCGACGCCATGTTCGAAGTGAGGTTTTTCATTCCACCTTTACAATTGGCCACCTATCCTCTTCTTCCATCCAGATCCCGGCCGCACAAACAACGCACGAAGCCGGAATCAGTGTGCTGACATGCGCAACAAGTGGCCCAACCAACGGAGCCTGGTGCGTAATTTAATCGTGCTGAGTGGTTCACTCGCTCTTCCTGCACCAAATACACCAGGCCGAACACATTCACTGCTCACGCGGTATTTAAACCAGACATGGGCTAAGCTGCAAAGGGAGCAATGGCCGAAAGTAACTAACCCCGATACATCTGTCGGTTTGATGAGCCAGATTCCACAAGCGTATAGGAGAGTTGAAAGAACGATTGCATTGCAAACTCTGCCCTACAGGACGAGAGTGATGTCGCGCCAGCGCCACAGCTGGCGGAGATTGGCAAAAGCGTCTCAATCTTTTGAATTATGATTCATGATCTCACATTTACCACTAACTTTATCATAGGCTAAGGTGATCAACTTAATCAATGAACTCAAAGGGGACGTAGATACCGAGCATCGAACCAGAAGACTTTCAAACGCGATAAAGTCGACCTTCCCAGTAGCCTCGTTAAGGTGAGTATCTTCAAGGGAATCCCTCATTCGTTCGTAAAGAAGGACAAGGTGTCGAAGCTGACCGCCTTCATGGTAATCTGTCAGCTCGTGCGCCTGTGACACCAAGTATATTATGCGAACGGCGCGGTGCTTATCCAAACGCGTGAACGGACGTTGCGCACGTTGGTTGTGTCAAGTAGGCGTCTGGACCATTAGTAGCGCCATTCCGGTCCATATAGTGGACATCGGACATGAGGTGGATCTGAAACGCGCCTTCCGAATAGTGTACAAGATTCCGCCGCACCGGTCAAAATGTCATCCTCTCCGTTCACCTGCGACAGCTGAAGCAATTTACATTTGATTGTTTCAGCCGTCCTTATGCTCGCATCAACATTATCGTCAACAACAGCAGTACATCAGCTATTTGAACTGATGCTTCGCCGCCATACAACCATGCTGACCTATGGAATAAAGAATCATAAGAGGGAGAGAAAGGGGACTTAGCGGGAAACCTTAATGACATAAGCAAACATGCATGGTCAAGGCACCCACCCATCGTTAGAACACCATACAATCACAAACAGCTGGCTTTCGGCAAAAATAAGGCGGTATCGGCGAGATAGCTTGCTTGCAGCTTTCAGTGCCAGCGTCATAATCAGCCATTACACCGCATATAACTCAGCACCAAACACAATTTAAATAGGCAGTCTGACTAGGAGAAGGCAACAGACGCGCCACTGGTGCCGGCTGCGAGCCATGTCCTGTAAAGTCTGGAGCAAAGCATAAGGCAGGTCACGTGGACTCCAGCCTGGAAGGCGAAAAAGACTGCCTGAAACGAGTTTGGTCGTCCATGACTCCATCTCCCGCTGTCAAGCCAAGTTTTGTCCATCTCGAGCCTTGCGCCACCCTATATCTGGCAGGCTAAACAAGGACCACCGAGGTAAGCGGTGACCGGGCATACGTAGTACGTGCCCAAGCCAACGCAGCTTAGTTTAGTGCTATCTATTGTTCCAAGGAACTAGCTTGATTACCAAGGCCTAGCACTCACCTACGCCCATCATTGCAGCGAACACGCTGGTGCCACCCGACACCAGCAATGCTCCGCAGACAACGAAATATGTGAACATCTTACGTGCTCTCTACTCGAACACTACAGGCCGCGTCAGGGTCTACGGTGACCTGTCGAATAGTTTTCTGACAACAAGCGGCGTTCGCCAGGGTTGTCCGATTTCCCCATTTTTGTTCACTTTCGTCGTTGACTCCATCATGGAGTGTTCTCTTATGGAATCCCACAATGCAGGCGTTGAGGTTCTGCCTGGTGAAAGGTTATTTGGTCTTGATTACCGGGACGATATCGTCTTATCTTTTGACGATGTTGCGGTGGGACAATTAATCATGAATAGCCTATCTAGAGTGGTCCCATTATTTGGTATGCGCTTTGCACCTTCAAAGGTCAAAGTGTTGCTGCAGGACCAGCAGCCATTTGATGACCCCTTGATAACGAGAAACTCGAATTAGTTCATTGATTCAGTTAGCTTGGCAGCTGCATCAGTAATGATGAGTGCACAACAACTGAAGTCGGTTCACGTATTGCAAAAGCTAGCACTGCCCTCTTGAACCTGCATCATCTTTGGCGACAGAAAGGTTTCCCTCTGTCCGGAAGGTCGTGATTACAAGGCCACAGTGAGGGCCGTCCTACTCTATGGTAGTGAGACTTGGCCCCTTCTGTCTGAGGACCTGGGGCGCCCTATGCTCGCAGAAGAAGCTAGTCCAGACTCTTCAGCTTCAGTGGCCAGCGAAAGCGGAAGACGTCCAGGTGGACTGCGAACAACCAACCCACGAAGACCTGGTTCGTTTTCTTTCCTCTGACCTAGACCCTACCGTGATCTATTCGTTTTGAACTAATTAGGTTTATTTTTATTTGTAACCTTCATATGATTGTAATGGTCTGATGATAAATCATTGAAACCAATTTCTCATTTGATAGGCATACAAAAACCCCACTTCATTTACAGGTAGGCGCAAATTGGTAAGCTATCACTTGTTTGTTTCAAACTCAGCGTTCAAAAACGAGCTGAGGTGTACCAACGTAGCTTACTGCACTTCGGTGAATCAATCGCGATTATCCAGTTGCAGCCTACAGTGTGCACACACAAAAACTGTCGCCTTCAAACTGTTATGGACATGGAGTAACTCATTTGAGATGCATCTTTCTCTTAAAATTCATCGGATATATCCTCTCTTAGTCATATATGTTCTCCAGGTGGTTTTGGTACTGATAAGACAAGATGTTTTCATTTATTCACCATGTTAGTTAAATTAGTTGTTTCCATTAAACCATTTGCGCGCACACACACACACACATGGCTGCTCATCGCAATCTATCCAACTACAGATAATTTAGCCGTGGAGCTGAGAATGATGCACTTCTCAGCTTGACCTGTGGCTGTCGCCTCAGCATCTACGGTGGCGTGTACTCAGTACAGAGAGGGGGGAGGGCAAGCTGGATAATGTTGGTTCAATAACTGCGTGAAGGCTATTGATACACGGTTCAGAAATTCATGGTGTCCAATGCGCGTGCGAGTGCAGCCTGTTGACTCAGCAGTGTTCACCCACTAAGTGTACATGCTAAATGGAGGTAAATAAAGTGACCCAGTCATTGTGAGGCCGTACAGAGCAATTAGATGATGGAAACAAAAAAGACCAAAAATAATATGCGCCTAAAGTGAGCACTCGAGGTGCACGATGTGTGAATGGGTTGCGACGTTCTATCTCAATCTACGCAGTGGATAACTAGGAAGGGAGATTGAACCAAATCAGTCACTGGTTCCAGGAGACAGATGGTCGTTGCTGGAGGGGACGGGGTGCACGGTCCTCGTGGCCGTGTTAGGCTCGAAGAGTGGTTCCATGCACTCAGTGTGGAGCGGACTACGGTCCAGCCACCGCCTTGTGTGCGCTTGATTCTCTAAGTACAGCGTGCTTGTGTTTGCCTGTGAAGGAGTGTGGGCCGGCTCCGTTGATGAAACGTGGCTACCATCCACATGCCTCCCGGTCTGCTTCCTTCGGTTTTACACTGGATATGGGGTGTGTGATTGGAGCTGTAGGTGGTGCAGCGCAAGCCATCCATGGTCCCTCTGTAGGCGCAGGCGTCCTGTGGCTGACCACGGTGACAGGCAAATCCGAAACCGGATGCCGCCAACCATATATACAGGGGGAGGCAAAAGTAGGTATACAGTAGTGTAACATCAGTGAAATTAGTAATATGTACTTTTAGTCATTTACTTGTTTAAAATGCATGTACCTTTATTCATTACCTTTTATTCTTTCAGTTAAATTGGCAATTTAACCATGGCCGGTAATTTGACTGACGAACAGCGCAAGTGGACTTGAAAGCAATACTGGAAGACAAAATAGTGGGCGTGTAAGAGAACAGTGGATCGAAACCTTTGCAACATCTCCCCCAACAATGCTCACAATTTATGGAGTACACGACAGATTTGAACGTACAGGGAGTACCTACAACGCACCGAGAAGCGGTCGACCAATTACTGTGACCACAAAAGAAAATGATTTCGTACTTGCTCAGATATTCGTTCAAAGCTCACAGAAATTGAAACACAGAGCTTCAACTGAACTAGATATTGAGCGCAGATCATTGGGGCACCTGATGAATCATGCCAGACTAAAGATATATACCCCTCGAATGATACCTGGTTTACTGGAAGATGACTCGGATCGTGGTTTACAATTTTCCGAAAACATCCTGAGCGAGGAACTTGAGGGTGACGGTATTCCGAACAGAATTGTATGAATCGACGAAGCAAACGTTAAAGTAACGGGTGCCCTTAATCGACACAATTTTGTTTACTATGCAACCGAAAACCTCATATCACTTTTGAAAAACAACTCAATCAATCAGGGGTAACAGTATGAGCTGGGCTTTCTTGAAGATGTTATTTGGCCCAGTATTCAGCACACAACCACTGATCAAACTGTGTACTTGAACATATTAATGGAGACAATAATACCACGGGTACGTGAACAACACCAAGATGAAGTCTTCTATTTTCAGCAAGATGTGATCCACCTCACTGTGCGCTCACTACTTGACTTGAGGTTTCCCGAAAAATGGATTGGACGCCCTGCTGCCATCTACTGGCCATCACGCTTGCCAGATTTAACTCATGTGGACTTTTATTTTTGGGGAACTGTAAAAGACAAGATTTTTGCGCGCAAGCCCCGTACTGTTGAAGACATGATTCAGTTCATTTCGGAGGCTTGTCAGGAAATTGATGCCGATGAAGACATTTGTTCTAAAATGTGCACAAGTGTTCGTTCTCGATCACAGGAGTGTGTGAACCTTGACGGCAAGCAATTCGAGTACCT